TATGAACCATTAACTCATAAGTTATGAAATGAAAAGTTTTGAAAAGTTTCAAAACTTGCCCTCAAGTTTTGGAATTTGTAAAGTTACACACACTTTAATATACTTTAATTCCAACCCTTAGAGTTTTAAAAGTTAAAATTCAACCCTTATACTATTTATAACATTAATAGTTAATTATTATATATATGTATAAGATCAAGTCGTTTTACCGTTAGTAGGCCTCATTCACGAAGCCGGTCTATAAGGGGGGTATAAGGTTGTTGCCTATAAAATGGAAACTTAATGGGTGTCCATTCTCACCCACCGCTTCCTTGATCGGTGGAGGGTCGTTAGCCGAACGGGTAGGACAATGACTTTAAATTCTCATTAAAAGTATAATGAATATTATAAAGTAACTAAACCTTTTATAAATTCCCAATCTTAGTTACTTTAGGAAAATGTGAATATGGTGCTAACCCATGAAATTCACACTTTGTACCTTACCAAGTCGTTGGTGGAGCGTGTGTGGTTAACCGGCACACTAACTTGGACTAGTAAGGATCACGAAGGGTGACTTAATGTTTATCATAGATCGGTGGAGCGTGTGTGGTTAACCGGCACATTGATTAGGTGATAATATTACGGGTACCAAGTGAATTTGCATGGTTATTCACACCTTGTTTTGTGATCCTCGGCATCCCAGTCACAAAACTTGAAAGGCACAATCGAGATTAAAACATGCCATTGAAAAGTTCAATAAATCTCAAAAGAATCTAGGAATTTCAAAAACCAATTAAACCTAATACTTCATTTCGCTTTCATGGTGGAGATTGGTGAATCGTCATTCACCTACCTTCAAATATGTTATAGCTTAGATTACGACATCCCTCTTCTAAGTTATAATATATTGTGTTGGATCCTAGCCTTAATATTACATTTGGGTCAAAGAGTTTGGTTTCTCTAGAAGTGAAGATGAGTCCTGCGTATATATCAGAGCTAGTGGGAGTATAGTTAGCTTTTTGGTACTGTATGTGGATGACATACTGCTCATAGGAAATGACATCCCAACCTTGCAGGAGGTTAAGTCCTGGCTTGGGAAGTGCTTTGCTACGAAGGACCTTGGAGAAGCTGCCTATATCCTAAGGATAAGGATATTAAGAGAAAGGAGTAAAAGACTAATTGGACTTAGTCAGAGTATCTACTTGGATAAGGTGTTGAAAAGGTTCAACATGCAGAATTCCAAGAAAGGAGAATTACCGATCCAAAGCAATGCCAAACTGAGCAAGGCTCAGAGCCCGAGTACAGAAGATGAGATAGCTGAGATGAGTCGATTACCTTATGCTTCCGCTGTTGGCTCGATCATGTATGCTATGACTTGTACCCGTCCTGATGTGGCCTTCGCTTTGAGCATGGTCAGCAGATATCAAGGGAACCCTGGCAAGGCTCATTGGACTGCGGTAAAGAATATTCTCAAGTACCTGCGGAGGACTAAGGATTGGATCCTTACCCTTGGTGGGAGTGATGACTTGAGAGTAGTAGGGTATAGTGATGCTAGTTTTCAGACTGATAGGGATAACTTCCGCTCTCAGTCGGCCTGGGTCTTTACCCTAAATGGAGGGGCAATCACTTGGAAGAGTTCCAAACAGGAGACTGTAGCTGATTCGACTTGTGAATCAAAGTACATAGCAGCGAGTGAAGCGGCAAAAGAGGCGATATGGCTGAGGAACTTCATCGGAGACCTTGGAGTTGTACCAGCTATTAAGGAGCCTAGGGAGATTTTCTGTGACAGCAATAGTGCGGTTGTGGCCTGGGTATTTACCCTAAATGGAGGGGCAATCACTTGGAAGAGTTCCAAACAGGAGACTGTAGCTGGTTCGACTTGTGAATCAGAGTACATAGCAGCGAGTGAAGCGGCAAAGGAGGCGATATGGCTGAGGAACTTCATCGGAGACCTTGGAGTTGTACCAACTATTAAGGAGCCTATGGAGATTTTATGTGACAACAATAGTGCGGTTGCCTTAGCCAAGGAACCAAGAGATCATGGCAGATCCCGACACATTAACAGAAAATATCACTTCATAAGACACAAGATAGAAGAAGGACTCCTCGTGGCAAAGAGGGTATCGTCAGATGAGAATCCTGCGGATCCCCTTACGAAGGGACTGACGAGGGTTAAGCATTTGTAGCATGCGAGACGCATCGGGCTGAGGGACGATATTAGTTTTACAGATTAGATAGTTATTACTGAAACTTGTAAAATGTAATCGACGTTTGATGATGAATAAAAGTTGTGATTTATTTATGAGTAAGGTGTTACTATCATTGTCAATTATTTACTATTGTTTCAGCTTTGCATGTTTTGACTTCTAGAATAATAAATTTATTCAAATTCTCCACAGTCGATCATATGTCGGAAGTAGGTATGAATCAAGACTGTCATGAATTGGGATTGTAGATGACTAAAGGTGTTTAGCCATAGCAATGGTTGCTACAACATTCATGAGTACTCATAAGTGATGAGTATTGGAATAAACCCACGCTCACTTGTATCACTTCATGGAATTTATCTCGAGTGATCGTGAGATGGTAATATCATATAAGTCTTCAAACCTAGAGATATGAGTTGTTACCTATGAGTTGGTTGTGCATTGATTGCACGTAAACGCATCAGTAACTTGATGTTATAAAACGTGCCTTTGTGTATAATTCAATAAGTAGTAGAACAAGCATATGAGTCGAAGTTTATCTGTTCCTTCTAGAAATAGAAGCGATATCTAGGACCCTCGATGATTTTGTTTTGACCTATGTACCGGGCCCGGTCAGAACTAAATTGATGTGTTCGATTAAGTTCTTTGTCAAACAAATCGGAAATCGGGAAACAAACTGCTGGACAATAAGTAAGACATGTTCCATGTATTTGTCCGGCTGATATCATGAGAGCAGAGGATTATGTGATCACTTATCTAAAATGGCGCTTCATAGTTCAACAGAGTTTTCGAGAGCTACGATTGCCGGTTGGTTCCTGAAGTCATATAGGCAAATATAGTTATTAGACTTATCCAAGTGGGAGACTGTTGGATAAGGTGTCTAAGTCCATAACTTATTTGGTATATACTTGACCCGACCCGGCATGGTCCATTTGGGTTGCACTTCACCCGAACTATTTATATGGATAATTTTATGAGAATAGTATATTTATGATTTATTAATATATTATAAGTTATAATATATTAATATGAAATTGTATTATTTAATTAGTATTGGTCTTAAATTAATTATGAATTAATTTAGTGATCAAATGGTGACTAATTAAACATGGGCTATTATATTTATATAGTGTGGGCTAACACTCATTATGGTAATGGGCTAAGCTTATATGGGAGTCCATGGATGATCCATGGAGCTTTTAACCCATGGATCCTTGGAAAGGAAAAGACATGAGTTATTAGGGTTTACCCTAATCATGTGCACTATATAAACAAGCTTGTGATGCATGAAATGACACCCCTAGTGTGTGTGAAGAAAAGTGGCCGATTTCTAGAGCATAGATATATTCTCTTATAAGTTTTCCAAGTTTGTGGTGATTTGTGATTTCCATTTGAGGCATTCACATTATTGGTGCTTGGCTCTCAAACTCCTAAGGAATCAATTCACAATCAAAGGTATGTAATTCATCTAGTTCTTTTATGTTTAAAAGTTCCCCATGCCATGCTAGATAAGTTATAAACCTTGGAAAACAAATTTTGCATGTATTTTAGACAAACATAGATCCAAGGTTTATTAGGGTTGCATGTACACTTAGGAAGTGTTAGAATGCTCAAAACCCAACAGAAAATACTACAACAGACGAGTGAAAGAAGGATCATTCAAAGTAGGTGACCTAGTGCTAAGGAAAAGTGAAGCCAACGATGGTGAATCGAGAAGAAAGCTCAGGCCAACCTAGGAGGGACATTACAAAGTCATAGAAGCCCACTAGAAAGGCTCATACATCCAAGAAACACTGGAAGGAAGGCCCATCCCATGAACCTGGAACATCTAGAATGTATGACGTTTCCATTGCTGAAGCAGATACCTAAGAGAGTAATCATATATTCTCCTCAAATTTCCCTTTTGTTTTATCCTTTTCTTTTTTCCCTTTAAAAATCATGTAAGATAGGAAGGGCTAATCAGCATCTCCTCTCGATATGAAATCAATGAAGTGTTTCCTTCTAGTTAACAATGTTCAAATGCACAATTGTAAAATCACATGTGATAACAACACGACAATTGGTTCCAAACCCTTTGGCTTGGACCTGCCTTACGTCTTGAGGTCAAATGCCTCGACTTACATTTGGAAATGGAAAACGGTTTCAAATCCCTTGGATTTGACCTGACTTACGTTTTAAGGCCAAATTCCTCGACTTACATTTTGAAACGGAAAACGGTTCCAAAGCCCTTGGCTTTCACCTGCCTTACATCTTGTGCCCAAATGCCTCGACTTACATTTTGAAAGGGCAAACGGTTCCAAAGCCCTAGGCTTTGACCTGCCTCACCTCTTAAGTTTGAGTACCTCGACATACAATTTGAAACAACAAAAGGTTCCAAAGAATTGATTTACGTCATGAATGTCTCAACCAACACTTCCAAACAACAATGGGGGTCCCCAAACATCCAACTTGGAACCCCATAGCAGCCTAAGGCCAAAACACATCTATTTGTTTCCAAATCCATTCCAAGACTAAACAAACATATATGTCCGACAGTTGTGCCAAAATTCGAAAATACTAGTCAAGTTCAACTTATAGCATAAAGCAACAACGAAATAGCTCAACACAATGATCTAAATTGTTGTCAAATAAGCAGCTTAACCACTAGCTCACAAACAGTTTTTCAAAAAAGCGATAAGAAGAATCAACTACACAATTTGCAACATAAGTACAGGGTGAAACAAAGCAAACACATCAAGAACATATCCATACAACCAAAAGCAATCACAACAATCACATTGTCTTGTAAAAAACAAAAATGAGAAACAAACAAAGTTAAGAAGAACCGGTCCCAACACGAGACTGCACCATCTGCCTTAGCTTCCCTGCATCCAATTTGTCCAATTCCAAAACAGACATATAAGCAAAAGAATCGAAAGCATCCAACACCTCCTCAGCGGCCGATTGATAATCAACAACATCATCTATCATACCCTTTAACTGACAACTAGCACAAACCAATTCCTTTTCCTCTTGCATTCCCAATGCCTTACCAGCAGCTACACATGCATCTTGGAACTTATCCACCCCATAACCGAACTCTGGACTCTACAAAACATGATCAACCACTTCTGTCAACCCTTCCCTCATTACCAATTGCATATCGTTTCCAAAATCACTTACCACCGTCGAACACTCCTCCATGATCTTTTCCTTCACCAATAGATCCCTCTCCAAGATTTCCAATTGGATACTTAATCCCTCATTCTCTTGCTTCAATTGACTAATTGTAGCCCCTAAGGAAATCTTATCCCGTTCAAGGCTTGATACATAATCCTCCAATGTTCTCTTCTCTGCTACAACAGTTTTAAGAAACAACACATCACCTTCACACTCAGACACCCTCTCCTTCAACACCACATTTTCAAAACGAAGCACCTGAGCTTCTTTCACCAAACGGGCAAGATCACCATCAACAGCGAAAATTCACTCAAGATGATTCGCACCTTCTATTAAGAAACTAGCACTCTGAGCCGAAGTGAAATGGAATGACCCAACAAGGTCAGTGTAACATCCAATAATTTAAATAAAAAATTTCCTTTTAAATTCATTTCAATCATATGATGATTATATAAAAACAATCGATAGTATATAATAATCTCATAATATCATAGCACAAATCCAAAAATTACATAGATGCAGAAACCTAGGCAGATACGGTGTGATGTACCATCATGTCCGTCTTCCATCTTTCACTCTTATGTTGGTTCTTCCCAAGCTAATAGATTGGCCTGAAGAATACAAATAAGCCATAAGCAAGTCGGCCGTGAGGAGATCCCGGACGACCATCCGATGGTTAAGTTAGCGAAAGGATATGTTATCGATCGATTACACAAGAGAGTTAAGAGAGACTTCTGTGTACTTACCTTCTTGACGAGTCGGGCTATCTATTGATAGTGATACAGGAAGAAGTAGCGAGTTCTTCCCATACCGACCCTGACATGCCATCTTATCACATTTATGGCATTATGCTCAAAGGTACAACTAGTGGTACTGTGTATGTTGTTACACAGTTATCATGTGGCTGTGCCAGGATCCACTAGCCATGTATCCTCATACAAGCTGTATTCTCATAGTTTCAAGGTACTACTTCTACTGTTTCGACGTCGCTTTGTACCTTCTCTTCGTTCTTTCCTTTCTTTTCAGTTTTCCATGCCAGTTTGGTATGTAAAAGAGCAACTTCGAGACGTGTGGGGTGGGTAACTTCAAGCGACCTTGCAACACGCTGGTTTGGTATATTTGGGAAGGATATAGGTATTTCTGGGCTATATCCTATTAACTCCCCCCATTTTATATCTCTACGTAATCGGTGGAGTAGGGATGCAAACTTTGGAAGAAACGACATTATAGTCGTTACAATTGGATAGGGGCAAGAAACTCCTGAATTAACTCCCTATAATCGTATTTCACCTGACTTTTCTTTAATAGGGGTATAGTATCCACCAACCACATTGTCTGCCCGTTAATCTTCATACGTTATAGACTTACTATAAATATTTGGTATTGAATCATCCATTTCATCATTCTCTATTTCATTTAGAGTCAATTTCCTTCTTCTATCAACTTTTTCTCTCATCTCCTTCTTCTTTTCTGAACATAGCGAGAACTGGGATTTCTCACATTGGGACGGTAAAATCCAAGTTGACCGTTCGGACCATGGATATGCTCGTTCGGAAGTATAATATTGATCCCAAGTTCCATCCTCGTCTGTTGGAGGCCAACGATGCCATTACTGACGCCCATAAAGGCTTCGTGGGGGTTACCGAGTATTCTTCAAATCCGGGCTGCGTCTTCCTGCTTTCAATTTTCTAGAAACTGTTATGGATTATTATGGTCTGCACATCGCCCAAATAACCCCTAACGGTTTTCGCAAGATTCTTTGCTTCACCCTGCTATGCGTCGCTATGGATGTGTCACCAGCCATCAATTTGTTTTGCCATTTCTATATTCCAATGTCCAATGAAGATTGGGTTTCTTTCTCCCTTCGCCATGGTTTGGTAGAGATTTGTGATGGTCTTCTAACCTTCATAAAGTATTGGAAAGAGGAGTTCTTTTTTGTTCATGCCTCTTCTTTCTCCGGCTCCATGGCATACGACGCTACTACTGACAGGGTCACCGACCCCGTCTCGAAAGTATCACCTGACGAGAAATTGATAACGGAGAGGTTATCAGACAATTTTGTCCAATGAGCGGACCCCGAAGAAGCGATGTTGGGTATGGATGGCATGAGTCCACATTGGAACCATTTCGGTAAGAAGCCAGTGGAGGTGTTCAAGGGAAAAAATATAACCATTCTTGACCGACTTTATCGGAAAGGAATTGTAAACTCCACCCTAGTGACAGAGGAGGTGATGGTGCTGGATTCCCTGACTAGGTCAGAGTCTAGCATGGAATGTTCCTTCCTAATCTTCGCTCGAAGGTTGTGGAATTGGATTTTGGTTTTGGCAAGCCTCCCACGGTGTTTAGAAGGGCTACCTCGAAAGGGTTCATCTTAAAGAAGTGCTCCGATAGTTCTCAAGACGATCAACTCATCAAAATGTCTCCTCCCAAACGGAAACGTTCTGGTCGTGAATCAAGAAGCTGAAGCCTGAATGATCTATCTGATCCTCCAGCTCCCGATGCTACAAGCTCTGAGTGTACCTCGGAGGATCCTATATGGTACAAAATGCATAGTCTTCACAGATCACAAAAGCCTCCATCATATCTTCGATCAAAAAGAACTGAACATGAGGCAACGACGATGGGTTGAACTACTCAATGATTACGAATGTGAGATTCGCTATCATCCCGGCAAAGCCAATGTAGTAGTAGATTCCTTTAGTCGAAAAGAGTACTCGGGCCATCAAGTAAAGTCTCTAACTATGACAATCCATTCACACTTGTCCGCACAGATCAAAGAGGCTTAGCTGGAAGCCTTGAAACCCGAGCATGTGACAGATGAAGCCTTAAGAGGAATGGATAAAAACCTAGAAGTTAAGGGTGACGGAGTTCATTATCTCATGAATCGGATCTGGACACCGAAGTTTGGTGGCTACAGAGATGTTGTCATGAACGAAGCCCATAAAACTCGATACTCCGTTGATCAAGGTTCATACAAGATGTATCTAGACCTCAAGAAACTCTATTGGTGGCCAAACATGAAGGCTGAAATTGCTATCTATGTGGGCATGTGCCTGACTTGCTCCAAAGTCAAGGTCGAATACCAGAAGCCTTCGGGTTTACTACAACAACCAGAAATACCCGAATGGAAGTGGGAGCGGATAACTATGGATTTCATAACCAACTTACCCAGGACAAAGAGTGGTCATGACACCATTTGGGTGATCGTCGACAGATTAACCAAATCCGTACACTTTCTGCCAATAAAAGAAACTGAAAAAATGGAGAAGTTAACAAGGACGTACATTAAAGAGATAGTACGATTGCATGTGTGCCAATATCCATTATCTCTGACAGAGATAGTAGATTAACCTTGCGGTTTTGGCAATCACTGCAAAAGTCCTTGGGAACCAAACTCGACATGAGTACAACGTACCATCCCCAGACTGATGGGCAAAGGGAGAGAACCATACAAATGCTGGAAGACATGTGGAGAGCTTGTGTGATAGATTTTGGTAAAGCTTGGGATACCCATTTACCACTCGTCGAATTCTCGTACAACAATAGCTATCACTGTCACACCTCCGAACCAGACGGCGGAAACGTCCGGGGGCTCGTGTGACTAACAATTCAATTATCATCATAATGAATATACATGAAACGTAACACATTAATCACCAACATTACATATAACAACCATCATTGTTCACATCAAGTACATTGTTATAAATTACATAAGTTCAAAGTATTAATGGTACGATGAGGGAGGTTACATAAAATGAAACCATGCATACTTGAAAATCTTCCTGCTTAACGATTACTTGAGAATACAAGTTATTTTGAAAACGGTCAACATATATAATGTTGGTGAGTTCATAAGTATGTTTGGATAAAAGTCTTTGTATCTTTTGTAAAAAACCCAGAAAATCCGATATTTTCTATAAAATGTCTGAAAATGTTGTGAAAATCAAGTATAGATGCATGTGTGAATTTCATAGTAGTAACATATATGAATGTAGTTTAGATTTCTTTGTATTGTAAGTAAGTGATAATTGAATAATAGTATTTCCCCAGAAAATCCGATATTTTCTGATTTATAAAAATGTCGAGGTTCTTGGATCATCAATTAAGTTATTTCGTATTCACACAATCGAAGGGTAAATCTTCGAAAGGTTAAATTGGTATTGGATCTCTATATCAGCCGTTATCATCATACATGAAAATGACTAGGTTGCCTGTCTTAACATTTTTCCAAATGCCGGTATTTGCTCAAGGTTTTGTCGCCCTAGACTGGCCTAGTCTAGCTGTAGCGAATAGCTAAGGCGTGGGGGGTCACCCCGTATAGATCTATACACAAACTCTCGCTCTCCCTCCAGGAGACTCTGATTATAACTACAAGCTACGACTGTACACTCAAGGTGCCACCCGACACGTCTCACTAGATTCTCAACCTTTCGTACTATGTTTAATGTTTACATGTATGTTATGCGTTATCCATCCAAAGGTACATTTATACGTATACAAAGTTCAATAGTTATGTAAAGGTATAGTTACAATCTACTAAGCATTTAAATTTCAATCTAAGCCCAATTAGCATGTAGCTGGGTCACAAAGGCCCATTAACATGTAAGTGGGTAATTTGGGCCCAATATGCATGTAAGTGGACTACCAAGGCCCAACAAACATGCGACCCATAGTCCAGGACCAGATTAACATGTAAATGGGTCGCAAGGCCCAATAAACATGTCATGGAAAATATTGGGCTCAATATACATTTAAATGGGCCCTTAAGGCCCATTGGCCATGTAACGTGTATATTAGGCCCAATAAATTTGTTATCGTTGTATTACGTCCATTTGTTATTATTTTTCGTTACTTGTTTTAGTTCGAGATTTACTGAATTGAATATAAAAAGTCCTCTTTTGTGAAAACGACGTTCTTGGTCGATAAGTTTCAAAATTTTCAATTAAGGCCCAAAGTTTTGTAAAAATGACACTTTAGTCCATAATTTGTAAAAATTTGAAATTTTGTCCCAATGTCTAGAAATTCACGGTTTTAGTCCAAAAATATATTTTGACATTTAAGGCCCAGTTTTTACAGAAAATTGCATTTTCAGCCCCTTGTTTGTAAAAATTTACACTTTCAGCCCAATTTTGATAAAAGTTACATTTTTGGTCCAATTTAGAAATAATCATTATTTTCACCCCTAAATTTGGTTTATTTACATTTTTGACTTAAACTTTGGCCAAATACAATTTTTAATCCCAAAACTTCATTTTTTTTTCTTTTTTTTTTTCGCAAATTTGGGCCGAAACTCTGAGGCCCAAATGTTTGGCCCATTAAGCTAAAATTTACATTTTTGGACCTTTGGAAAGTATGTTTAATATAAAAATCCCTTTTTATACACATAGGACCTGTTTGGTCCCTATGAGTACATAAATGTCACTTTTTGCTCTTATCTTTTGTTTTCTTGACAATTTTGACCCTTAACAAGGTTTTTGTTTTAACTTTTATTTCTTAAACATGTAATCACTTTTAGCTTGATAGTATAATGTATATAGTGTCTTAGTTCATGGATCTTTACTCAATGCCACTTAAAATGTCGAGATTTGTTTAGATCTAACACATTTTTACAAAATAAACTAAGAATTCACACAAGACATGCATATAACACATAGATCTACACATTTTACTTGTATTATCCCCCAAAAATCATATGAAAACCGAAAACAAGGGGATATGAAGCTCACTAAGGTTAATTAGATCAGCTATGGCCCAATAAGGCCCGTCAGGGTTATAATGAATCATTCTAGGCCCAAATGGTCCAAAATGTTATAGATTTGTGAATTGGGTCCATTTAGAATCCAAATAGGGTTTCCAAGCCCATAATAGTTGAATTGGAGTCCATCAGGCCCAACAAGGAAATCCTAGTCTATTATGGACTCAAACCGGGATTCTTAGGGTTTTCACTCTTTGATGAACATGAAAGGTGAATTTAAATGAGCACTGAGTGATATTTGCTTAGCGTATATGTTTTTTTTGCAATAGTTGAATGATTACACGAGAATAGAATTTCCTAGCTAAAATGCTAGTTGTGACATCATCCCCCCGTTAAAGGGAATTTCGTCGCGAAATTCTTTTGAAAACTAGGTTTGTGAAGGAAAGAATAGGTGAGGGTACTTTTGCTTCATTTAGTATTCACGTTCCCACGTGAATTTCGGTCCAAGTTTAGCGCTCCATCGTACCTTCACAATCAGAATTCGACTTTGCTTTGTACGCTTCACTTCCATGTCCATAATCTCAACTGGTTCTTCAACGAACAGGAGATTCTCGTTTATCTCAATCTCTTCCAAAGGAACGACAAGGGTTTCATCTGATAGCCACTTTTTCAGATTCGAGACGTGGAACACTGGGTGTACGTTGCTGAGCTCAGCGGGTAGCTGCAGCGTGTACGCCACTGGACCAATCCGTGCAATAATCTCGAACGTTCCAATGTATCGCCGGTTCAATTTTCCTCGTTTCCCAAAGCGAATCATTCTTTTCCAAGGAGAGACCTTTAACAACACGCGATCCCCGACTTGAAATTCTAAAGGCTTTCACCGCTTATCAACATAACTCTTATGTCGGTCTCGTGATTCTTGAAGTCGAGCTTTGATTTGGACTATCTTTTCGGTCGTCTCACGGATGATTTCAGGTCCTGTAAGAGCACTGGATGGCGATTTCCCTTTTTCTATTTGAGTGTCACCCACCTCAGACCAACATAGGGGCGATCTGCATTTACGACCATAAAGTGCTTGGAAGGGAGCAACCTTGATGCTCGTGTGATAACTGTTGTTATAGGAGAATTCGATCAGAGGCAAGTGGGTATCCCATGACTTGCCGAAGTCAATAATGCAAGCTCGGAGCATATCCTCGAGTGTCTGGATGGTACGCTCACTCTGACCATCCGTCTGTGGGTGGTAGGCAGTGCTCATATCTAGCTGTGTACCCATTGCCTTCTGAAGAGATTGCCAGAATCTTGAAGTGAATCTGTTATCTCGATCCGAGATAATAGATACTGGCACTCCATGGAGTCTCACAACCTCCGTGA